ATGAAATTCAGGAGTTCATTGGAGGAAAGAGCTTCTAGAGCCATCATCCCTCTTCTGCACTCGACCCAACTGTTGCTTTTGTGGGCAGATGATGAAAAGATTACTCGAACCCTCGAGTCTCCCAATACTTCTCCTACTGTTAATACTACTATTTTGACTACTGGAGTTGTTGTTATTATTAAAAAGACATCATATCATTCCATTTTATAGCAAAAGCAAAAACCCTCTATTATGTTACTATGACTTATGACTTGTACTGTTGAGAGTTGAGAGAGAGATTCAGAGGAGACTTCCTTTTTCCTTTACACTAACTTTTTGGGATGCAGAGAAAAGCTCAAAAAGCACACACAAGACTTGAGCAGTAACCTCTCACGTGCATGTATGAGACTATTTGTAATGGATGAATCCTTCCTTGCTTTATCATTCTACTCTTTTTTTTTTTTCCTTTGGTTACTGTTTATTTACTTGGTTTTTGTTTTATAACTCTAGAAGGATAGATAGAAAAGTTAGGAGACAAACACAATTAGACACGTATACAATACGATCATACGCCACTTATAAAATTTAATCGCACAGATTGTTCACTGATACAGTTGTTACATCGATAGCAGAATTCAGAAATACACTTCAAACTTTTTTATTTGTCGAAAAAAAAAACAAATTACACAATAGTTGAGGAAAATGGTTTTTTGTTTTGGTTTCCAATTTTTTCATGGATGCTGTCAAAACATACTGCCAAGGTGTCTGCAAGTGAGGAGTGTGAGCGTGGGGGGACCCAAATCTATGTAGAAATATGCATAAAAACAAGAGAACAAGCTGTGCAAAAGCTACCCTTCACGTTCAACATTTTTTATTTCGGTTTGGGTTGGGATTTGCAAGAAACGACTGGTGCACCGCTCGCGCCACACTCAGACACTCTAGAAAATTGAGTATTATGTGATTCCGTCTGTGAAGAACTGGCTAATTGCAGTTCTAGTCCACTCTCCTTTTGTTTTGTGTTTCAGCCTAGTCCCATTTTTATTCGGTATTATTGGATTTAGTCCCCTATTTCTTTTTTATTTGTTTTAATTAATGAGTCCTAGTATGAGCACTTGAAAAGTGCTTAACCAAAGAGTGTTGATATTAGGTTGATATTAAATGAAACTCTGCTAGAAAGAAATTCAGATTAACAATGAGATACTAGCATTTTACCTACATTTTGTGTATGGGCATGGCAGCTTTAACATGTAAGGTAAAGACTCAATATCACTAGCAATTTTTTTTTTTTTCTGACGGAGTGGGTATCCAGGTCAATCCTTACGGGGTCTGACTAATCCCACTCCGGCCCGGAGAGGAGGCCCCACTCCACTCGAGCACGGTGACAAGGGGACTTGAACCCTGGTTGCCCAGGTAAGTCCGCCATACCCTAAAGAGGGGGAGCGGGACCGCTCAAGCTAACCCTTGGAGGCCAATATCACTAGCAACTAGAGAGAAGGAAAAGTGGTACGATATATTACATTATTAAAACATTGATCAGTCAAGAACAACATTTGCCCAAAAAAAATGGATTGACTCTGATGTCCGATCATTAAGAGCTTTTTGAAGTTAAAAAAAAAAGTTAAGTTGAAATCTTAACGGTTACAGCAGTAAAAACTATAATTTACATTTTTTTGATGTATAATAAAAATTCATAAGTACACACTTTAAACAAAGAATAATTGTATCGAGCACTATCACGAGTCAGTTATTCCAAGCAATTGCCACTTAATATATACTTGTTTGTTCCTCAAATATAAAGAGCTAGATTACCACTTGTGCCTCAACTTTAGCTAAAATTGTAGAGGATTAAATGTAAAAGACCAAATGCTCAGGGACTCAAGTGAGATTGAGTGCAAATATAATGATTAAAGATGTAATTTTCCGGATACTACAAAAAGTACTGCAAAGTATGTGTCTAAAAAAATGTTTGGGCAGATTACATTCACCACCGATCGATAGTCAACAAAGTAATGCTTAAACAATTCAACCTTATCATTGAGAGCCATTTCTATGCTTCATATATATTATCAGATTCAGATGGTGAATGTTATCTACTTTGAAGAAGAGGGGATTGCAACATAATGGATAACACACAAAGCCTATCACTCCATCAATATCCCTTTTGAAGGGAGGTGCCCCTCCACACCCATTTCCACCGTTTTGTTCTTTTGGGAGGTTCTTGGAAAGGGCTTTAGCTCTTGACTCGAAACGTGGACATCGACACAGGAAGGGCAATGTTACGTCCATTCTTTGACCTGTTACTAACAAACATGGGAAAGGAACAAGTGGAAGTACTGCAATAGAGAAAACTTCAACGATTATAGGGAAGTTAGATTTTTTTTTTCTTTTTATCTTTTTGGTTGCCAATAATTTGTTGATAGAGGATATGAAAACAAAATTTAACCCACTGGGTAATAAAGTGAAGAAGATCATTAATGACATTAAGAACTACACCGGGCACACATTCGATTTTACCATCATTTCTGCCAAGAATCTTCCAGTCTGCACCATACAACAAACTTCCAAACTATGCATGATTACTGATTTGAAGTTTCGTGCTTGATGATTGATGTACAAGGAGAGGCATTTATGGTCGATTCTGTGCGCCTTATCTTCAATAACATCGCCTTAAAAAGAAATTCGTGAAGGCTTGTTTCAATTACAAAGAAACAAAAGTCATAATTTACGAGGATAAAATTAGCTACAAACAGATGATACGTGAAGTACTACTACTTCGTAGCGGATTCTAAAGGGTTAAATTCTTGCAAAAAGTTGAAGGGTCAAATTTTATAACTGAACGTGTTCTCTAGAGAGACGAGAAACATTGCCATTGTTTTGGTTCCCTCTAACAAGATGCTTTCGTCGACCTATGGAGATGTGCAGTCCTCAGTTTGGTCCCAAACATGCAAATTGACGAGCCTACATACGTATATATTTATTTGGTTGGAGAGAAATTTCAAACCCTACAAGAGCAAAAGGAAAAGATGGAATTTTGAAATCGAAACATAAACCTCGCGGTCACCTGACTAATGTGTCAATCAACGGAACTGGATCTTGAGATAACTGCGATTTATTTGCATGAATATCATGTGGGTTATGGTGCCAAGTACTTTGCTAGGGTAATACTAAAGCGACCAGCACACTATGCACATAGCATTAAACGAGAACAAGAATTGTCATAACAAGAAAAACTAGTTAACCATTAACCTGATGTCCAGATCCTAGAACGCAATCATAGGCTCTTAGCTATTGATACTTGCGGACTATTGTATCTACTCAATCATTTAAGAATGCTCAAGAAAATATTGGGTTTTGGGTACCCAACCATCTGAACAAGCTTGGTTCAAGCTGCTGAGCTTTCTCTTTTACGTTTAATTTTCCTTTTCGGACCAATCACGAAGCATGACACACTGGAAGTCCGCTGTTTTGGTTGCCCAGTTTGGGTTGCATTTTCTGTAGAAAGAAGGACACTATAACTTTTTTTTTTTTTGGAGATATGATGTATATTAGGTAAAAAAATGATTGAGAATTATGTTGGAAAAAAATATTTCCAAAAAACTCCGTCAAAGATTCTTTTTTTCTTTCACAAAACATGCAATCCAATCTTTTGTGGATGAAGAAAGTAAATGTCCATCCAAATGCAGCAATATTTTTCCCGAGTCTGGTTAAACCGTCATGTGTTTTATTAAGGATGATAGAATTTTCACCCATCAAAGCAACCCCAACAGGGTTCTCAAATCCAAATTCGAAAAGTAGGCCTTTGAATTTATCTATTTTAGTTGCCTTTTAACAGTTAGATCCCAATATCAATGGCGTTTACCTTTCACTTCTTATTTTAATCAATCCATATGTTTTCCTGCAGACAATATGTAGATGTCATTTTATAAAATTTGAGAGATAAAAGGTATTTCGACAGTCTCATTTTAGGGATCATTTTGTTAAGCAAACTCAAAAAAACAGGTGGGATATGTACATTTTAATTAAAAGAGATCTACAATCAAAATCAGTTTATGTGCATTTTGACAACGTGGTTTCTGCATCTTTCAAATGCTTATAACTTTGTAACCAATAAAGTAGTTGGCCACCAATAAAGTCTTAAAGTTCTACTTCAATGTAGGTCAAGGAATATATTCTAAATCCAAGATTTTCTGAAAAAATTTCGCCAACGGATGGATAGACACTCGTTTGGAACGATAATGACTTAGTTCTCCCAAGTTCCTCCCTCGACCCCTTTGAATCCCCTCTCTCCCTAGTATAGAGCAGTGGTAGGTATAAATCCAAGATTTACTAGAAAAATTTCACCAGCTAATACGTAAGCACCCGTCAGGACTGGTGTTAGTTCAATCCTCTTGGATTTTCCCTTGACCTCTTTGGATCCCCACATCCCCTAGTATAGAGTAGGAGTAGATATAGATTAGAATTTATCGTGTCCGGCAAAACAAAAAAAAAAGTTGATAACTTCATAGTTCCAAATAAAATGGATCTAATGTATGCCCATAAACATTCACGCAAAGGATAAAAAAAGTAATTAGACAGCTCCAAGTCAGGACTAGATCTCCACATGCAAGAAAGATTTTTATAATTCCGGTGAAATCACATCATATTACCAAATTAAGTAGAATTCCAACCAGTGAATTGTACAAGAAACGAACACAAGAACATAAAGCAAATTTGCAGCAATCAACCCAAAAAGTTCTTAGTTACATCTCATCAGACCTGATCAAAAAGTTAATCAAAGCCGAAGTTGCCCAAATGGACTCAACCGGACAGAGCAAATAAACAATGTTGTCAGTATGAGAAGGGAAACAAAGCAAAAACACTGGGAACTGTAGCCTTATCTGGAGATGAGGGCTGATGAGTGATGAGAGAGAGAGAGAGGTTTGCGAGGACCACGGTCCAACCTGTCAGAGGCTCTGCAGGGGAATCCATGTGACGACCAGCCACCTCTTGGAAAGTACATATTTACCAATCATCCACAAATATATATTCACATTGAAGTTAAAACTCTCTTTAAAATTTGCTTTTGACCCAAGAATGGAAGGGAAGGAATACATATTGGCCAATGCCTTTTTAGGCTTCAGCTCAGCCTTTAGTGTCCTTTTACTTTTTACTCTACTACTGTCTAGTAGTAGTACACTGTAGTACTGCTTAATGGCTTTGTGGGTACGGATAAAATGCAATCTAGCATAGTAGCCATGCACAAACAATAATGTTAGGAGAGAAAAGAACGTACAACCCAAACTCTATGAGTTGTACGTGTACACAAACTCCTTATAGGCAAATGATACTTGAGCTTATGCAATAGGCAATTCAACAAGCAGAGATGCATGTGAACTTCATTGTGTGGGCAACTTCGTTGATGGGTTGGACACAATTGTCTCAACCAGGTACTGAAACCCCCAAAGATTTGAAGTCCATTCAAGTCAAAGGGAACTCCTTGAGAAGCAAATTTTTGTAGAACATAATTGTGACTGCCTCGTGGATATGAAAGTTACATGGTAGAGATAAAATAAGCAAACTACAAGTTTAAAAGTTCAATTGTGGCCCAAAAAGCAGTTAGGATTCAATTGGCAAAGCGGAAGCAAGGTCCGCTACCAAAATTTCAACTTGACGCCAAAGAAGTATGCACATCCAACGAAAGCACATAAAGTAAATTGATAAAGAAGCAGGATGGCAAGGGCAGTGGCTGGTGAAACAAAGAGCGTGTCAATGGACAAGTTCACTAACCCCGTCAGCACATTAGCCTGCACCATAAAGGCAAATTTCATTCCCTTGCGTCCAGTGGAACTCTAGAAACGCACCAGATATCTAATATCAAAAGAAAATTGAAATTAGGAAGCTTTTGCTCACCAGAAGAAAAGATGCCAATAGGTTTCGGTTAAATGCTTCTTCCAGAATGGAAATTCTATTTCCAGGTATATAATCAGAAAGTGTTAATATGGCTAGTACCTGAAAGTTTGTAACAAACATCATTAAAATATATCTTGTTCAAGGAGAGATGCAATAAGGAGCCTTTAAGATGCCAAACAAGATATAAAAATTTGAAAGCAGAAGTACAGCAACAGACATATCTGTACACGTGTGTATGGGCACACACACACACACACAAAACGCGGAAAATGTCTACAACAAACAAGTGATTCTAACCATTTCCAATTCCCTTCCGCTACCCCCACACTTCTTCCGTCCTACACTTCTAAGAACAAAAAATGCTCATGCAGTCCTCAAAAATAACAAAAATGTCTATCTAAAGAACGTTATGGCCAAATAAAAACAACCTGCAAGCTCCACAGAAATCAATAGCATGTCATTCTAACGTGATTCATTATAAGGAAAAATCGATTGTCCAGATTATGTAAGTATAGTGAATTCGGAGTTGAGGTGGTCCAAATCAAAGGATTCCAATATGTATACAAGAAAAAGAAGCTACTCCACATCGAGCAATTGCCCATCAATTGGCTTAATTAATCTAATGAGATTATCAAATAATGATGAAACAAAACCTAATTTGACTTGAAGGTCAATAACACAGTTTCCAGTTTGACAACCTCGACTTGTCATGACTCAACAGAAATATATATTCCAGGCCCTCATTTGCTCACTACAAGTATCCCTCCAGCCCGCCATACTGTAACTTACTACCTCAGCAAAATACTATTCAAATAGTCAACCAATATCTCCAAACCTAATTCAGTCACAGCATTGATTGCTCTTATATATCAAATAGCCATGAGAACACTACAATTAACTTATTTTAATATTTTATTACATGTTTAGCTGAAAGTACCTTGCCTATTAGTTTTGCTGCAGTACATATCCAATCTGAACACAATTTAATGTTGTTTATTACTAAGGGCAAATGGATATACATCCAATGTCTAGGTGATCCAACTCAAGCATCACATAATCAATGTTTGAGGTTGCAAGCATATCATGGCTTGACAGACCAAAATGGCAAGCGCAGAGCAGGAACACGGTATTGAAGGAAGTGGAGCCTCTTTGAAGGATCACAGGAAGCGATAGGTTTTTGAAAAGTTCAGGATGTCGGATTGACTAATAGCACAGGCAAACTTGAGGAGCTCAAATAAAAGAAAATGAGTACCTTCAACAATTATCTCAAAGCACCTTCCACACTCTCATGATTTTGCATATAGAACTTCTATGTTCCATTTGCAACTCATATATGAACCCTATTATCTCCAGAACAATCTCACATTTGCAAAGCAAGGGCATCTCACTCCTGTATCCTCACACAACACAATCATGATTTCCTCTCTCCATACAGTCTTCACCCTTTCCTTACCCTTGCCAACTCTTTACAACACCCAGGAATGCAACAGATGAAAGCATTACTTACCACTGGTAGGAACATTCACTCCAGGTTTGCTGTGGTTCTTCTCATAAATTTTCCTTTTACAGTTTAGAGTTTTACCGCATAATCCACGTAGAATTTATAAGTAATTAACAATGGTTAAGTCCCTAAGCCTTTTCCAGAGCCACTAACATATTCTGAAACTTTACATTTTATAACCTTGAGGCTACCTGTATGATCTTTTGTATCAAAGATAAAAACTATGCTGTGAATTACCATAAACTTATATTGACCAAAAACTTTGGGCACATGACAAATATCAGCAATTCAACTGGCTGAAACAGCAGACCCTATGGTTGATCATGCATATGACAGGCCAATAAAAATTGGTCATCTAAGTATTTAAACAAACTGGCTACTCATGACTCATCTATCGTTTGAAAAGATCATGAAAATGAAATTTACCTGTAGATTTAGAGCCAATACCAAAGTGACATATGCCAGGTTGCACTGCAGAAAATTCTCATCATTTTCTTAAAAATGAATGCACAAAGCAAGTTCCATTTTCAAAAATTACTGAATATAAATCAACTTAAATTGCTATTAGTTAAAGAGCTCTTAAAATCTTAGATAATAACAGCAGCAAGATGTCTTACCATTCTGCGAGATACTCTCTCCACATGCCAATCTAGATATAAAGTCAACAACCTACAATTTCAAGAGGGATAGAAACTGCCTAGTTATCGAAACAACCATAGCATGGGTTGATGGATTTTATGAGACAACTAGGTTCAGAAATCGAAGTATACCAGAAGAAAATACAAAGCACCCAAACTGTAATGCTTCCCCCCTTATCGGCACTTCTCATAACCTCGCCATGATTCCCAAATAAAAGAAGGCTGCCCAATTGTACACCAACAAGATATATGCCCCAATATCCTGACAAGCAAACCAATCAATTCAGTAAAATATGAATATGCATGAGTGCATGTTGCAAGTACTAGTGCTCATTAAAAAGTAATGATAATAGACTTCATATAGCCATTGAACTTGCTCTATGCAATTGAATGATTACTTCAAATCATGTTATATAATTTATTGTCATCTTGAATCAAACTATTCAGCAACAAAGCATTATTGGCTGCAGATAAAAAGATTGACATCAAAGTTTCCAGTTAATAATGTAGATAAATTCCCGTTGCTGCCTCAAGTGGCACAAAGTCATTGTTTAATTTATTTTAATCTGCATCAAATATTGCCACCTTCCTAATTTATCATCCACTCACTGTTTCAAAATTATCACATCAATTTACCTTTCATAGCTTGGTATCTTATCCATAAATGTACTTCAACAAGTGAATGTTACATGCAAACTATATTTATCAGTCCTCATTTAGTTGCAATAAATTCTGTAATTTGCCATTAGATGCAATGACATTCTTCACGATGCTGCTTAAGAACTTGCTGCCATGCATCAAATATTGATGATAACAGATTTGATTGTTATATTTAACAGATCAGGATCAACTACAAAATATGCATAGGAATGGTACTATATTTGCCTGGTAGAATGCATTATCCATTCAGTTTAGAACTGGGGATATAGAACATGTATAAACATGTCATTTCTTCCTCCATCATACTTTTTGCTACATATTCGAAGAGAAAACTCTGAATAAAAGCAATTTGAGAATGATTCTCCTCACTCCCAGTTTGTATTCCGATGATTTACAAATGTCAGTACTTTAGGTATTCCTTCTTTATTTCTTACAGTGATTGTGCAATCAAATGTAATAAACAGAAGTTAAGAAAAATGGCAAGCCCAATGGTCAAAAACAGAGATAATAAGGAATAACACACATAAAGATGGTAGAAAATATATACAGCATAAGTTTCACAGTTTCTCACCAATCATGCTGAATATCCCTTCCTTGTTTTGACTAATAATGTCTGCCCCTCTTTTATCAGAGAGCAAGTAATCGTTTAGCCCATGTGACAGAAAGAATTGATATCCTACAATAACATAATAATTCAGCTCAATGTCAACAAAAAAGCCAATAATCTTCTTGAGTAAAATGTAAAAGAACTGCAAGTGAGAAATATGAATCTTACCCACTAAAACAAAGAAACCCAGAAGCCCACAGTATCTTGAAGGAACATTTATCACCGATGTCAGGATTGACACACCAGCAAGCGTAAAAAAGAAATTCCAGTGCACTCCATATTCCCCGACATGAACCTGCAAGGAGAAAGATAAAAATGTTCTTCTACATCATCTATATTAGATATCAATCATGGATAGAAAACCTCAGAATACAAGGATAAAGTAGAGCTAATAATATGACAATGAGCAACTATAACTATCCCACTCACAGTAAAAAGGGGATGTCAAATACAAGCTGACAATGAGCACTCTCTAACCCAGTTCCAGACCCCCCTATCCCAGTTGCCACAGCAATTAGACATTCAAAAATAAATACACAACCAAAACCAGCTAAAGGCCACAAAGTTGCATCAGAGCTCAGAAGCCACCAAAAATTTTCAATTCTTTGATTACTAATTTGCTGCTTTTGTGGGTAACATACCCTGAAATACAGTTAGACAAGCATTTAAATGTACCATAGAGGATAGATTTAAAGAACAAAGCATTCAACCTGATAATCAACGCCAGAGGTAAAAAACAGTCGGGCAAATCCAAGAAGAATTAGAGGACTACATGAGCGGATTGTACTTCTGAGTGTCCTGAAATCAAATATCAGCTCTAATTAACAAGCACAAAACAAAAGGGAAAACATGGATTTTTTTCTCTGAAACAAAAAAAAAAAACAAAATTTCAACCGCATTTGAGCTGAAAGAAGCATGATTTTCAGTGTGTTGAAACAGTAATTACAAACATTTGACAGTAAGCTGTAAGTTGCACAAACACGACAGAACAACAACAGCAAATAGAGAACACAATCAATCATGGACTGAAATAAGCTTGCAGAATTCATGCATATGCACGATTCAATTCTGTTCCATACGAAGCATGCAAGGTATGACACTATCATACAGCCATTTCAAAAAAATAGCTAAAGTGAGCATATATTACTGGTCAATTTTGAAACCCTTGCCATGCAAAACCAAAGAACATAGTATTTCAAATGTATTGTAAGTAGATAGTCCAAAATCAATGGCTAGTCTCCGTCTAAAAGAAAATTAAGCATTTAGACAATGAAAGCACAAACAACCACTTACACTATTGAATTGCCTCGTGCCTGTTGTGAAACCAGGGAATTGACTAAAACAAATGAGCCCACCCCAAGATCCATCTAATAGACAGGAAAAAGAAAAGAAAAGAGGAATTTTAGTCAGGCACTTATCTTTAAAGATATCTATCAAAGAGAAGAGTGTAGGTAGCTCAAGAATCTTACCAAACCAGTGCCATAGGTCTCTGTTTTAGCATATTTTCTAGGAAATATTTTGAAGTCAACAGCCAAAATACACAAGCACGTGGCAAGCATCTGCAGCAATTACCCTTGTAGCCAAAATTGGAAATTTCAAGGAAAAATAATGCAACCTTAACAGACAAAGGGAAAAAACCACAATGTATTTAATCATAAGACAAGGTGCATACCATAGCAACCCGGTAAGATGAGATGTTTGCCCTAAAAGAAAAGACACCACTTTCCTGAAAAGAAGAAGATCTAAATCTGTATGGAGGATTAATACGTTTCTAATGTAATAATTTGCATAGACTAAATTATTCCAAATGAACTGTAAAGTACATGTATCCAGATATTTTGGTGTTATGCAGGTAAATAACGCATAACCAAATTCACAAACGTAGATAAAACACAAAAAATTCTATGGATATGCATTCACCTTCTAGCTGAAAAAGAGATAAGCAGCAACAAGATCAGCGAAGTTGCAATCAAATATATCCATTCAGACAAAACCTATAACAAACAGATGTCAGCAACAATTACAATAACTTTGTGTGCAAAAGCCATGGAAAGAAAGATAAAGGATCTACATATGCTGGAAAAGAAATTTGAAGTCCAGGCAATTAAGCTGCCTATTTAATACTAGTTGACAACCAACCATCCATCAGTCAACAACCTCATTGAGTAAACCATTTTCAAAAATATCTGACAAAACCTTCACTCAAGTACCTGAGGACCTCAAACTTGTTGCAACTCTAAAAGAATTAACAAAGAATGAACCCATCTTTCCAAAGGATTGACATGTATAGTGTGGCATTTAAGGCCCCTACCCAAAATGCTGCCCCGCGAAAGCAGCACATAAGGACGTGTATTCCTTATGTGTATGTGGAGAAGAAAGTGAGGGTTTCAATACAGCTAGTTGTTCCTAATGAATCCCCTGGTTCCACATCCACCATTATTTGCAAATACATTACATTCAAACAAAACGGCTGAAAAATAAACTAGAATTAACATATTTCCATATAGCCAGGACAAAGCACTTACAGTAAGAAATAAAGTAAATGGGGCAAGGATGAAGAAGAAATCTACAACCATCACAGCAACAAAAGCCCTCAGGCTCTTATATCCAACAACTTCATCATTTTTCTTCATAGAGGCTTCTGTGGCATTATGACCTAAATAAACAAGAGATCCTGATCAATAAACAGATAGCATGCTAATAATAGCGCCCTGCATCCCTGAGATCATCAAGCAAAAGTTCCATTCTATATGCATAAAATTAAAATGCAACAAAACAAACACACAACACGAATGAGAAACTAAAATTAATAATTGCTATTTCGACATAATGCATCCCGATCCCATAGCCAAATAACCCATTAAACATGCTTCTTTTAAAATTCATAATCAATCAAAGCAAAAATTTTATAAACTAAGGCCTCAAGAATTGTTCTTCCCTCCAAGTCATAAGATGCAATGCATATAGACTTCTCAAAGGATTTGGAAGCTGTAATCCACTTTAATTTTAAACACCCAACCAAATGGAACCTGCCAACCTTAGTTTCTTCTCCAACTACACTTAAAACATCATCTAAAGCAGAATGACAAATAAACTCTGCGCACCAGCACGTAATCCATTTTTGTTCAGACATACAGACAATTGCTGCAATAATTTCACTTCATGAAATCAAGGCAATGGAAACTAGCTAGTTTGTGAGTTGAGGATAGAAAAGAAAAGAAGAGAAATGATAAGTTATGTGAGAAAAGAAAGGATAAAAAAAAAATTTGTAAGCTTCCATCAGTTTTCCTTCGCTTTCCGCCCGTTTTGGTCAGAAAATTTTTGCACTGTAGCAGCGCTTAGCTTCTCTTCAAGATCCGTTCGTTTCTTTTCTTTTCCGTCTCACTAAAATCTTCCAAACGTGAAAAGTTCACCTTTCCCTTCCTTTCTTTTCTATTCCTTTGAAATCTGAACTCCCAAACTAGAACTGAACAAACTGCTGCAAAAGTTCGGATGTTATTTTTTTAACAAATTCAACAATGCGTATAATACTTACCAACCATGATATCACAGCCAAAGGTTCGTCTTAGAAGTACCAAACACTGAAATCACAAACGCAAAATTTTTTTTTTTAAAACAAAGGAAAGAGCAGAAATTTACAGCCTTGAAAAAGAAAAATTCAAAATGAAGAGAAGAATAGGGTTTCTTACGGAGAATGTTGTAATAACAACGAAGAGCTCGAGCATAGACGAGCCAGTCAAATTGCTCACAAATCTGTCCACATTTTTTTTTTCAATTAGTCTCAAATAATTGGTAATCATTTACAAATTTTTAACCCCAATTCAAAGAGAAAATATAGTGAAGAACGGAGAAAACTACTGTTCTTTGAGCTGCTTGTTGGGGTTGAAGGATCTGAGATTGGAATCCATTTTTCTGACAATCGACGAATCAAATGCCGTAAGCTTTTTAATTAGGATTATTTGCAAATTACCCAATGAAACGATCTGTTGTTTGGAGAGAAGGTAGGAACCAAGTACTTGTCATTTGTCCCATTTCCAAGGCGTGGTTACAGAATGACGCCTTTATATGCAATCTCATTTCGAAGCTACCTCGCTGAGCCCGGTCGCGTGGGCTCCTAGAGTCCTAGTCCTAGCCAAGCGGGGCACTCTCAGGACGCGGTGCACGGGAGGGTTTCCCGGGTTCGCCCTCTTAACTCCTCTGCTCCTGCCCCACTGTGGGCTTTTTGCCCGTATCTATTGTTTGGATTGTGATTTTTCGCAGAAAAATTGTTACTTTTTTGTAAGTATATTTTTTAATTATTTTTTATGTTATATAGATTAAATTGTTATAGTATATCTTTTCTATAAAAATTTTGAAAAATAACAATCCGAACCCAAGTTTTTTGGCAAGTTTGTCTGCTATAAATTTTTTAAAAACTCTAACTACAGTAATCTTTAAAAACTTTTCAAAGTTTTTAAACTAATATATATTTCAAAATATTCAAAAATTTACACTTTGAATATTTGGTTCTTACTTTGAATAACAGATTTAGAGGTTGTTTGAGTTACACTTTTGGAAGAGTTTTTGAAGAAAAATTAAAACTTTTTAACATGTCATCTATGTGCAGTAAAAAAAAGTAAATGAAAAATATGTAAAAAATAATATTCATAAAAAACGTAAAATTTTTCTCCGAATATTAGCTATCCTTCTTTAGTTACTTATTTTTTGGAATTCTTATTTCAAGCATTAATTATATGTTAACCTTATAATAGTTGGCACATACTTAAATTGAAGCACAAAGTGAAATGTTTGGTATTTTTGTTAGAAATAACCTATTCTTTAAATACAATAACACTTAAATTCTGAAAATATATAAGTACCCTCTGAACTTTGGGAATTCAAACTTCACCACATAGCCAATTTTGTACTATAAAAGTGTTCATGTGGATTGTTAAAGCGTTTAAGAAATACTAACCATGATACCTTTGGGGGCACATTCGAAGTTGTGGTAGAGTGTAACTATTCCCAAAACTCATGGGAGCAATGTGTGATTAACCCTTTAGTTTTTCTAAAATCAAGTAATTTGATAAAGAGTCCTTGTACTCTTTCTAAAATCAAGTAATGAAAAATTGTCAAGATTTTCTTCAGAGAAGAGATGAAGAATACCAATTTCTGTGGCTTGTCATACTTCTTTAAGATGTCATCCAAAAAACAAAATGCAGGTTCAAAGTTCAAACTCGTTACCAGTTATCAATATGACCGAAGATCATAAATAAAAATGTCTTCCGATGGAAAGAACATGAAGAATTATTGGACAACGCTGTCATATTTTGTTCTTCACTTATTCTCCCTATATAAATATTCAAGAAATTGCAATATTAGCTTTCAAGAATTTCTATAGAGCAGAATTTGCAATCAACGATATATATATATATATATATATATACTACTCTCTGTATGAATCTTTAAGCATCTCAATGATGGACGCGTATTCGATAAAACCAAAATTAAAAAAAAGAAGGGAGGGAGGAAAAGAGATTAGCTCAAGAGGAGGAGGACAAAAACAATTCAGTCAATCTTTGTTGATGTCTGCACCAGATAGCCCTGAAACTTCACCAAAACCACCATTTCTTGTGGTTTCTTGGCTTCTATATTCTCCAAAAACAGTGCAACTTCTGCTTGTATTATGTCCCTTAATAATTTTTTCTTGAACTTGCTCTGGCAATCTCAAAGTAAACCTATCCTGATCTTCTGATCCTTTAGTCCTAACTATTGAATGTCCTGTTGAATGTGATCTTGAAAATCTCTCCAGCTCAGTATTATTGTTCCGCCTTTCAACTAGAACGTGATCAGCAGCCGTAGCAGAAGTCCTCCTTTCGCCGCGATCGCTGCCTCCTCTTTCATCTTCAGTTTCATCCTTTACTGTGATGGAAACACTTTCAGGCAATGACTCATTTTCGTTTATGAGACGCATGGTATTCGTGAATGATATCATCGAGCCTTCTTCGACATACGGGACAAGTTTTGTGTTTCTCAAGCCATAGATCAATGCATTCTTGATGAAAAACGTGACAACATGTTGTCAAAAGTCGAAGAAGATCATCATCTCCAAACTCAACTAAACAGATGGCACATTCTAGCCCATATTTTTCCTTCCTATAATCTTTAACACTGGAATAGGTGAATGCAGGGAAAGATTGTATGATTTTGGGATCAATCCCAGGGTTGTCTTGTGGATGTGTTGGAACGATAGGCGTGGCTGCAGGACTATGACGAAGGTGCCAAGAGAGGATTAGATTCTGCATGAAACATCTACAAAAGTATAATGCGAAAAATCCCACAAAGAAAAACACAAGAAGAATGATTGTTATGACTATGGTAATTGGTGGAGTGCTGTATGATTCTGGTGTTGGAACTGATTGCCGGAGAGAGCCATCATTTGACATTGCCTGAAAAAAAAAAAGAACGAAAAAAGAGGGCAAGGCAAGTTGCAGAAAAGCTTAATGCTTTTTTTGGGGGGGGGGGGGGGGTGTTGGCCGGATATTGACTATTCCGGCCTTGACGGCCTTTTTTTTTGCTCTGTACGGACGAAAGAAAACCCCAAGAAAATGAAGTGACTCAATCACCCGTAAGAGAGAAAGATCCAAGGAGATTAGTTTGATTACACTGTGAATTTGGTGCGGTAGATTTTTCATGTTTGGTGAGTTGCATGTTTGCTTGAGAAGGAGAGAATGAAGGAGGGGCATGCATTTGTTTCATTTGCAAAGAACATCACACATTTGAGTTTCAATATGGTTCAACAACGTGGCAAGTTGGTTTTTCATCTTTGGTTAGAATCAGAGGAATTGAGCGAGTCGTCTGAGGATGGATGATGAGGAGTGTTGTCTTTGCTCTTAGCATTATTGTCTTGCAACCACCAATAGGGACATATCTTGAGTTTTTTGTCAAAATAACACTCTTACTAAAAAATATTTCCAATGTGATTCACTTTCAAATTTTATTACCATAATGATATTATTGTTCCCATCTAGTTATCCTGATTGCCAGGTAGGATAACAAGAAAGGAAAGTTCTAATCCAATTTATAGTTTCCAACATTAACTAAAATTTTAATTTTTTTTATTATAGAGGCACAAGAAGATTGCATGACTTTTATAATTTCCTTATAATTATCTAAAATAAATTTTACCATTATTGACTTTACTATTATTGGTCTCCGAATTTTTTTAAATGTATCAAACCTATTGCATATATATTTTTTCAAAAAATAATTTTAAAAATACAAAAATTGCACCAAAAATTGCAACGAAAATTGTAATCAATTACAAAAATTTCAAGGTTATCATATTTGTTTATGTTATCCTTCCTACTCTTTGAAAAGACGAAAATAATCTTCATCTACCTTAAGATTATCGACTTGCAAAACATATTTTTTAGATGCTGTTAATATAAAGATTGGCTTCTTAGATTATGTTTGACAAGGGAAAGATAACGAAAGAAAAAAATGTGGGAAGCTTTATAGAGAAAATTGAAGAAAATATTAGATAAGAAAGAGAAATGGAGGACGTCTTTATCTCTATCCTGACACATATGCAGCCTAAGTAGAATGGCAGCATAGAGTTGACTTCATTGATTGCTTTCACCAATGCGAGACAAGAATTGTAACATGCTAAATCAAAATTAACAGCTTCCCTTTACACGTTGTGAATCAACCTTTTTTTTCGAGCAACGATAATAATTGTATAACCTATTCTATTCTAGTCTACAGAGAAGGGGAACCTAAAGAGATTTGTGTTAGTCCTAAAGAGATTTGTGTTAGAGACTAACAGGTATACAAAACTGACTAGATCAAAAGGGTGATTTGGCACCACCCTTGAATTTTTTTTCACTGCAGGTGAAATTTGAACCTCCACCTATAGCTCAAGGAGGGATTTAGCCACTGAGCTTGCATGTTGTGAATCAACTAGGGATGGTATGTTGGAAGGCATGCTAAAGAGATGGTTTCCATACGTGATAAACTCAAAAATCACGGATTCTGATTGGTTCATGGTTCTAGCATTTTGCGCTTTCTTGGGCGGAGGGTGGGGAGAGGCAAGCAGTTTTTGATTTGTTATGGAGACAGCAAAGCAGAAAAGCAAAAGGAACACATTTGACAAACAAGCGTGCTTTCAACTAAAGTTACAGCTACTGCATGCTAGAATACATGCTCAACCAAAAAGCTTATAAGCTGACCAAAGGAACAAACCAAAACGCAGCTTATTCATAACTGAAGCCACAACACAAGAACTTTCAGGAAAAAGCTTGGCTTGCGGTACCCTACAACCATCACACAATGGCTCAAGTTCAAGCTTCCAGCACAAACCTAACGCTCAAGGTATATCCAGCCTCTCCAGGGCATTTGACAAAATCTACCAGCTACTCGAGATCATCAATCCAGTCGCCATATATTTTACTGATTTTGTCTGGACCCTTCCACTTTAGATGGGGTTTCTGCCCAGTCTTCTGTATCACATTAGACAACTTTTGAGCTGGAACTCCAACATGATAACTATCTGAATGAGGTACAGGAGTTACAGATCCAACAACAGCATCAGCCACAACTTTTGAAGGCACTGCTACTTGCTTTGTGTCCGAGGGTGTTGTAGGCACTTCTGATTCTACAGGCCCCCCACCAAACTGATGCAGCTCTGTCAAAGGATATTAAAATTCAAGTTACGGTGTACAAAACAAATGTCATTTCTTCCCAGGTAGAAATCACCAAGTCATTTTACAAGCAGAGGGAGATGTGCAACCTGCATACCTAAAGGGACCAACTACATGTGGAAACTAAATAAGACACACACATATATATATCTATATATATATATAAGACACATCTATATATATATAAATGTAGGGCAACCAGTCAATGCAAGAAGGACAAAAAATACCTTCTCTAACCACTATACATTCAACAGGAGATGTCATTTAACATATCACGTATTGATCAGGCTTGCGCCAGATACAAACTAAACAAGCTCAGTTCTTAAAACCAATAACAGCGGACGGGAAAACTATGAACAGGATGACATTTTGACCAAGTAATGACTATAGGAAATTTTAGTAATAGAAAGCAATCGCATGGTTTGCAATCATTTCAAGATCACAGCTGTCCGCATTCGCCCCTGACAATTTTCAATCAACAGCTTGAATGCTCAACCAACACTACCCCAGCACTTCATGAAAGGGTGGAGGGCCAAATTAGCATATAGAGCTCACAGAAATCCACGAAAAAGGTCATCTCTCTCAAGTTGCATTAATACCATCAAGACACTTCATATAATGTTTGAAGTTTCTCAAATCTTGATTCCATAACAAATTCTTGTCCTTGTTCCACTCCTCTCCAAATAATGTAAAGCCAGCACCATGAGATGCAATAATTGTTCATTTGCTATAATTTCTCAACTGGATCTTCCTTGCCTCCAATGCTAACTCAGTATCAGTTGCATATATAAATTAGCTCATTCGTACTCTTACATCTTTTTCTTTACCTTAGGCTGTCATAACCTTTAAATTCAAACACTGTAGTTCAAAATGAGTGCATTTAAGCACAACATGCAAGCGCTCTGGTTATTCACATGCAATGCACCATATATTACGTAAAGCGCACCAAAAGCAGCACTCAATCAAGAAGGATAAAAGCAAAAGTAAACAAAAACATACAAGGACATCTTGAAATTTTGAACACTTTGTGCTCTCTTAGTTTATCAAGCATTGAATACCACTTGCTTTCTTGATCCTCCTCCTTGCTCATAAAGTCATACCATTTGCCCAGTCACAGATGATTTTTTGTCATTTATACTCAAAAGAAATCTACCAGATTTCTTTTGATGGGAAAACAACCATTGACCATAAGATCTCAATGGCATGCTGACAATAGAAATCTAGAAGAAAACAAACAAAACTAAATTATATACAGGAGAGCTAGAGACCAAGCCTCAGAACTTGAGATTAAGACAATAGAATGCATAGATAATCTATAAGAAAAAGCACTGGTATCTATTGATGGGTAAACAACCATCGACCATAAGATCTCAATTTTATCAGATTCCTGCCCTTGAGGTTGCTTGTTTCTCTACCTAATCAAATGCGAGAACCAGGCAAGACCAAAATCTGTTCATTCTCCAAAACAGCTTCATCTGCAATTACATTCCCAAAATACATATTAATTTGTTTCTTGTCTAGTGTGTTTTATTTCTTGTGGTATTTAGTGAAGTTCTAATTCTAAAATACTTTTTTCCTTTGCTTAAAGAATCTGTAAGTGCTATTTAAACCAACATAAAACTAGGATGGGAAATATTTATTCTAAGCAGAAGTCATTTGGGGCCACTCTACCAGATCTTTGTAAAGCAAGCCTCTTCCATGAACCATGCCTTGGTACTGTAGTATAAGGGTCTGAAGGCAATGCCTAAGACGCGAGGTATCACACTTATACGGAAATACCAAGTCAGTTAACCTTAACATTACACCAGTGTAATGTTTAAATTCTTACAAGAATAGACAACAAAAACCAGTTCTACAATACCCTAAGCCAGCCAACAAGACAACCTGTTTGATGCTTTACACATCTCCAATGGAAAAGAAATGGATCATTTTTTACATATTAAGACTTTCCAAGCCTCCTTTTCTGTAGTCCAGGGAATAGCTGTTGGTTCCTTAGCGCCATCAATTCCAAATTCTTCATGGTGTTGAATTACAGAATCTTGCAATTCTCTTCCTGCTACGACTCCAGTATGCTAAATGCATGATGGCTCAGATGTCAGGATACATAAGATGCACGACTCTGAAGCACAAAATGCAGTCTTATGTTTTTCTCAGATGTGAAGTGCAATTGCATTTAATAAAGCAGACTTCCTACTTAAAGAAAGAAGCAAAAAAAGCAGAAAGCCCTTTGGTCAATAAAACATCACATTGGGTATCAGTAGTCATTTTCCACCTGCAACCACGTACCTCATGATTGCCAATTACATTTGTTAGTTCTCCAAAACAAGCCTTTATCAGCCTTCTGCTTCCCAAAACTGTGTGTTTTTACTTTTCTTTCTCATTGTTTGCTAGGACACAACCTTTCTTGTCTCTTTTTTAGTTCTCCATTTTCTTCATCGGGAACACCATCCGGACAGTCAGTTGAGACCGCTGGATGAACTTAACTCTTCACCAGCTGGCTGATCCTTTGATCCTTCATGAAATCTCATCCACTTTTAAAACCCGAGTAGCAAGGACCACAACCCACCTAACAAAAACCCATGTTCCCATCATTCTCTCATTCTCGACACCAACATCGATTGGGTAAACAAAAACCCAGTTAGCATCCATTGGAACTCTTTCCAAAGACAAAGTACCCATCTTATTTTGACCACAATTGTTATGTATCCGGCACCGACACCTGCATCATGTCATATTGTGCAATATGGGTGCCCCGTGGTCAATTGACAGTCCATGTAACATAAGATCCACCATCATAATTCCTTTCCCAATTCAACCAAAATAAATTTATTACTCTCTCCTGCATACTTCACCACTCCCAGACCCGAAACATCTCTTTCCTCCATTTCATGGTCAAAGAAATGAATGCTACCGTGCACATATCTTGGACCACTAAATACTATCTGGAAAGTTTCCTATCAAAGGAACCTTGAAGTGCTGTAGAAAGATTAACTGAAGTCAAGCATCAAACTTGGCTTGTTAAGTTTTCTAACTGCCCTCAAATCTGTTACAAAATTAGTGAGCCAACACTTTTGCTTGAGTT